AAAATGACATCAAGAACTTATGTAAATATAATATTCATGACTTCTTGCAAGTTGAATGTATGTTTTAAAAAAATGTAACGGTATACTTTTATTTTATATTTAAATTCATACTTAATTTTCAATTTTGTATCCATCTAGTTTCTCAATCATGAATATAGCTTTTTTATAGTCTTGGAATATTGCCTTTAATCTTATAGAACTTATACCTAAATAATGTTGTTTTGTGATACATTCATTGCTGAAAAATATATTTATTTCATGTACAGCTTTTATATTCTTTCAAGTTTTTATCACATTAAACATTCGCCGTTATAAATGTCCTGTATCATATTATACTGATATTTATAAATAAAACAACATTTTTATAACGTATAAAACATTAATTTCAGTCTCTGGAAATAATTTTGATAATTTTTGATTATACGTACAAATATTATTTATGCTATGTTATCGTGGAATAATAATTCTATGCTAAACTCCTAACATCAATGTCTGGTTTAAATAGTTCCTCTTTATTTTGATATATAATGATTTTATCATTTAGCCTTTCTATTCCAATAAAATTATTTTCTGCTTTGTGTGTTATTACACCATGTGAAGTCCAATTAATAAATATATTTATTAGCGGACCTGAATCACATCCTAGTGGCTGTGGAATCCATTCACCATTATCACTACACTTGACAGTTGTGGGTAATGACAGTGTTCTGCCATCATAACCGTCGCGATATTTTAGAGTTGATATTGTACCAGGTCTAGATGAATCGCATGATACATAATCTCGACCAGGGTATTTGCAATCAGCAACTACTGAAGCTGAATTTAAATTTGTACAGTATACCTCTGAAGCAAAAAAAAGTTAACAATGTTTCTATACAAATGTATAATCACATATGCTGAGTTCAAAAATTTTCTTACCTTCACACTCAGGAATTTTGTACCATACACCATGTATACTACAGAATACATCAGTAGAACCTTTAATCTTAAATCCACGATTACAACTGTAGACCAAATGTGTTCCTTTCTGAAACTGAAAGTCTTGTCCGACATGACAGTGCTCTCCAGATTGGCATTGTGATTCATGCAATTTCCAATCACCGTTTCGTGGTTGTGGTGGTGTTTTACAAGTTACTGATGGCACATAAGAAGTGACAGTATCTGTTACCATAGATGTTGCTGGTGGTTCTGGATAGTTTGTAGGTGATGAAATTGTTCGACATAATGTTGGGTTTTCATCTGAGCCATCTATGCAATTTATTACTCCATTACAAGTTGAATCCCCATCTACACAAGCACCATATCCACAGCGAAATGTAGTATATGGGCATATAATGCCTCGTTTAGAACATTCAGCTGTTGTTTCATCAGATTTATCCCTGCAGTCTGGTCGTCCATCACATAATAATGTACTTTCTATACATTCTCCATTTTTACATCGAAATGTATCCAGGCTATTAAAAAAGAATTATTTCATAATTAATTATGTATTACCAGAGATGAGTTTATTCTTGTACTCTACTCTCTGGTATTACCAAAAAAAATTAATGGTATTGGAGTATTTAAACTCACCCACAATACCAACTTTGCCCATGTCCAGTTTTTAGTACACCTGCGAACAAGATGGAAATATATTTTGTTTTTATGAAGAAATTCACAAAAATTGGAATCAAATAAATATCCTTTGTTCAAGATATTGTAATAAATTAAGTATGTTTTGAAGCTTTATATCCTAAAGGTGTAATTATGTTAATTACTCTTTTGACGTTTAATAATTTCTATGAAATTACAAATTACGAAACATAATTTCATAATAAATTATTCTGATAAAGAAATTTCTTAAAGTAAAATAACCTGTGATTAGTAAATTCTAGATTTTATACATTTATGATAAAATTAAGTTAATACAATTTGAAACACTGAAAAAATAAAAATCATTAAACAATATCAATGCACTAGTTTCACTCAGTTAACATTATTAGAAAAAGTAAATATCCATCAAACTTTTATTTTATACATATATATACAATGTCTTCAATTTACAGTATTACTAATGTTGGGATATAACATTCATATTTTTCACAGATATGAACAAATTATTTTTATATGTCAAATAAAAATCTATGATAAACGATGAAGCTATAACATCTTACAATATCAAAGAAAATTTTTCTTATTCATTTATGCTAAACACACTAAATTCAGTCATTATAAATTTAAAAATTGTTTTATTTAAGAGTATTTGAAATTAGTTATTTNAATTGTTCTTAGATGTTTAATAATTGAAATAAAACCGCAAATGATAAAATGTAATTTCATAACACCTTATTCTGATAAAGAATCTTCTTAAAGTGACTGATATGTGTAACATGTGTGACTGAGATTGTATAAATGTCTCTCTAGAGTTCAAGGTCAACAATAAACTAGTTTTTGAACATGGCTGTAGATTTGTTTTCTTCAATTTACAGCATTGATAATATTGGTAGATAGTATTTGTATCACTTTATTAATATAAACAAGTTAATCTTATATATTAAATAAAAATTATGACAAACAATGAAGTTATAATTTCTTAGAAAATTTCAAAATACACTAAATTTTGTCATTATAAATTTGAATAATCTTCTGTTTAAGACTTTTTGGAATTAGTTACTTGTAATACTTGTTTATACTTACTAATTGTTAAAAAAAGTGCTATTACAATATTTTTCATATTAATGGAGGAAACTTTGAAAGTCACGATTCAGCTCCTCAACTGGTACCCGCTGGTCGTATACTAACCATAAGAATATCTGGAATTACCGGACTCAAGCCAAACATAATTTCCAACTTGGAAATTCCAGCAGCAATTGTACACTAGTATGAGTGTGTTGTGAAAGGGGATAACACAACACACACAAGGATTATGCGCGGAAGAGAGAAGTAAACAAGTAGTATATACAGTAAAGATTCCTTTATCCGAACATTTATTTTCACAATATTCTGATATCCAAATGTTCTATTATCTATCACTGTATTATTTAGATACTTGAATGACGTTTTGAGATTTAGAATATTTTGGTATCAGGATATTACAAAAATAAATCTTTAAATAAGAGAGTCTCAACCGTACTTTACATCATCTAATAGAAAAAAAAAGAATAATACGAAGGGTTATCTGTTTACGATAATGACGGTAAGTCTGATGCATTTCAATTCGATGGTCGTCTTAATCATAGAAATACAAGAGTATGAGGGGCATTTTATAAATCTTGGTTTTATAAAAGCAACCTTTGACATGATACATCGTTTTTCTAGGAGTACCTGCTGCTCTTTCTTAGAACTAATATACATATTTGTAGCAATTACTGTAGTAATTACTATAAAGGTAGTTCGGATAACAGAGTCTTAGCAGAATCTTAGTCCAGTAATTAGCCTGGCAATACTGTTTTCAGCAGACTTTTTAGATTAAACTTACTGTAGAATTAAAGTATTTTCATGTCTTTCTGTGTTTGTTATTCTGTTGATTTTTACAAGATCTCCAACTCCTTTGAAACAGAAACATTTCCAACAATATTTGAAGTTTTTATTCATTTAATCTTGGTAGTCCTTAATAACGGTTTGCAGTATCCTAATAAAAAATGTTGTTATAAAATTGAAATCGTGGGAAGAACTATCTATTCTTACATTTCCCTTCTTACCTTCCTGATTTTCCTTCTCTCATATTTCTGTTATTTGATTCTCAATACACCTGCAATTTTCTTACTCTTCTTCTTCTTTTCTTCCTTTCCACTTGCTTGCTGCTCCATCGATTGAGCTTTGTTTCTTCGGTTGTTTCGTCCACGACTTGAACTTATATATCCAAAATATTTTTACTGGAATTAACATCTAAATCTATCCGAAAAAGCAGAAATTATCCAAATCTGAGTATGTATTAAATATGTATTATTAAATGAGAAACATTGGTTTCTGTGATATCTCAAAAACTTGATCAGTGTATAATCCATATATATATATATTTTTATTTGCGAATTTTCACGATTCTGATAATTGTAATAAAATGGCATCCAGAACTTATTATGTAAACAATATTCATGATTTCCTGCTTGCTGACTGTAAGTTTTAAAAGTGTATTGGTTTAGTTTGATTTTATGTTTACAAAATTATTGCTGCTTCTTTATTGTCTCGGAATGATTTGTAATATTACAGAACTTATACTTAAATATTATTAATAGTTGATAATATTCAATGGTCTACAATGTATTTGTCTCATATAGTATTTTTATACTATTTCAAGTTTTTATCACATGATGTATGGAATCTCTGGATATTATCAACTCCAAGAATAAAGTCCTCCATCCACTGCATATGAACAGAAACAGCAGTGTATAAAGAATATGTGGAACTATCACATTGCCTAGTTCCTCCTACCACTTTTGTTCCAAGACTAACACTAACAATGCCCTTCAAATACCATAGGTTGCTCCATTGGAAAATTAGTCCACCACCACTGTCGCCGTCGCATACTGATGAACCTACAATTTGTATACTTTTTAATAAACTTCTACACAGTACAAATGAGTTATTTTAATTTGTGAACGTATTTACCGTTCGTGTAACCAGCACAGAACTTATCGTATGTGATATAATTTTCAGTCTCAAAGATGTTGCTTTCTTCTTTGCACTTCCTATTAGAAATATATGGTACTTTAATTGTTTGCAATATGTAGCTAGATGGGCCCAAAGCAGTTCTACCAAATCCTGCTACTCTTCCAATCATATCAGGTTCTAATATAATGTTGCTGGAATAGTCTAAGCATATAGGTTGTAACAATGTCGAAAATACAAAAGGATTAGCTACCTCTAATATAGCTATGTCTGCTTTGTAAGCTCCAAATATTCCGTTGTAATCGCAAGAAACATGGACTTTTTTTACCTGCAAACAGCATATATTAATAAAGGCATCAAATATAATTTTTAAGTAAACAATGAAATATAAATATGCGTACCCCCGTTCGTACTAATGTAATATTATTGTGGTATGGAGAATCATAATCTCTATACATGATACCCGTCGCTATAAAAAATTTAGAGGCATCGTGTTTACGTCTGTTATTTTCATCGTAAACACAATGAGCTGCAGTAATTACTAACTTCTCGTGAATAATGGTTCCACCACAAATAAACTCTTTCGGTGCAGTCGGTGTTACAGCTCTATAAAGTGTTGCATGCCATGGAAACTCAGTAATATTAGCAGTAGTTCCATTTACAATAAGTGGAGTAGTTGATTTAGGAATGATACCGCACACTAAAACATGGATTAAATTATATCATAATTATGCATCCAACAAATGCATATAATAAAGTAATGTAGAAAAACTTTAGAACACTTTACAGGAATAAATAATAAGTTGAAAGATAAACAAATGCGTCACATATTTATTGTTTATACAAATATGATATCTTACTGGTATTTAGAAATATGTAAAAATTGCTATAACATATGAGAATTACCTAAATATATAAAAGTATATATCAGTCTTTGACAGTTATTCTAGTCATTTCAAATCACATTCAGGCAAATATTATTCATGCTACGTTTTCAATTTTAATTTCATATCTTTCAATATTTTAGCATAATAATTCTATATTAGAGTCCAAATATCAATGTCTGGTTTAAATAGTTCCCCTTTGCATTCATATATAATAATTTTATCATCTACTTTTTCTATTGCAATAAAATTATTGTCTGCTATGCTTATTTGCAGTGCAAATGTAGCCCAATTAATAAATATATTTATTGGCGGACCTGGAACACATCTCAGTGGTTGTGGAGTCCATTCACCATTATCACTACACCTGACAGTTGTAGGCGATGGCAGTGTTCTGTCCTCGCGATAACTGTCGCGACATTTTAAAGTTGCTATTGTACCAGGTTTAGGTGAATCGCATGATATAAAATCTGGTCCAGGGTATTTACAATCAGCAACTATTGAAGCTGAATTTAGATTTGTACAGCGTACCTCTGAAGTACAAAAAGTTAACAATGTTTTTATATAAGTGTACAATCACATGTGCTGAGTTCAAAAATTTTCTTACCTTCACACTCAGGTATTTTGTACCATACACCACTTATACCACAGAAAACATCAGTAGAACCTTTAATCCTAAATCCACGATTACAACTGTAAACCAAATGTGTTCCTATCTGGAACTGNATTGTGGTATGGAGAATCATAATCTCTATACATGATACCCGTCGCTATAAAAAATTTAGAGGCATCGTGTTTACGTCTGTTATTTTCATCGTAAACACAATGAGCTGCAGTAATTACTAACTTCTCGTGAATAATGGTTCCACCACAAATAAACTCTTTCGGTGCAGTCGGTGTTACAGCTCTATAAAGTGTTGCATGCCATGGAAACTCAGTAATATTAGCAGTAGTTCCATTTACAATAAGTGGAGTAGTTGATTTAGGAATGATACCGCACACTAAAACATGGATTAAATTATATCATAATTATGCATCCAACAAATGCATATAATAAAGTAATGTAGAAAAACTTTAGAACACTTTACAGGAATAAATAATAAGTTGAAAGATAAACAAATGCGTCACATATTTATTGTTTATACAAATATGATATCTTACTGGTATTTAGAAATATGTAAAAATTGCTATAACATATGAGAATTACCTAAATATATAAAAGTATATATCAGTCTTTGACAGTTATTCTAGTCATTTCAAATCACATTCAGGCAAATATTATTCATGCTACGTTTTCAATTTTAATTTCATATCTTTCAATATTTTAGCATAATAATTCTATATTAGAGTCCAAATATCAATGTCTGGTTTAAATAGTTCCCCTTTGCATTCATATATAATAATTTTATCATCTACTTTTTCTATTGCAATAAAATTATTGTCTGCTATGCTTATTTGCAGTGCAAATGTAGCCCAATTAATAAATATATTTATTGGCGGACCTGGAACACATCTCAGTGGTTGTGGAGTCCATTCACCATTATCACTACACCTGACAGTTGTAGGCGATGGCAGTGTTCTGTCCTCGCGATAACTGTCGCGACATTTTAAAGTTGCTATTGTACCAGGTTTAGGTGAATCGCATGATATAAAATCTGGTCCAGGGTATTTACAATCAGCAACTATTGAAGCTGAATTTAGATTTGTACAGCGTACCTCTGAAGTACAAAAAGTTAACAATGTTTTTATATAAGTGTACAATCACATGTGCTGAGTTCAAAAATTTTCTTACCTTCACACTCAGGTATTTTGTACCATACACCACTTATACCACAGAAAACATCAGTAGAACCTTTAATCCTAAATCCACGATTACAACTGTAAACCAAATGTGTTCCTATCTGGAACTGAAAGTCTTGTCCGACATGACAGTGCTCTCCAGATTGGCATTGTGATTTATGCAATTTCCAATCACCGTTTTGTGGTTGTGATGGTGTTTTACAAGTTACTGATGGCACATAAGGAGGGAGAGTACTTGTTATCAAAGGTGTTATGGGTGGTTCTAGACGTTCCGTAGTTGATGAAACTGTTCCACACAATGTTGGATTTTCATCCGAGCCATCTACACAATTTATTACTCCATTGCATTTTAAATCATTCTCAATGCAAGCACCGTAACGACATCGGAAAAATAATTGTTCACACCTTGGAAAATTGTACAAGAAACATAGATTAACTATAGACAATATATATAACTGTAATTATCCATTGACTGTCTCGCAACTTACAAGATTCCTCCACATTGAATAAACGTTTCATCTGAACCGTCAGAGCAATTTGCATTGCCATCACACAGATTATTTTTAGCAATGCATTGCCCATTGTTGCATTTGAATTCATTGTCTCGACATTCTGAAGATGAACTAATTGAAGTATTGCATTTTGGCAATGTTTCATCACTGTTATCAACACAATCTTTTACTCCATTACAAGTTGCATCTCCATCTACACAAGCACCATATGCACATCGAAATGCAGTATGTGGGCATTTAATGTCTGCTTGACTACATTCTGCAACTGTTTCATCAGATTTATCCTTGCAGTTTGCTTCCCCATCACATAATAATATACTTTCTATACAATCTCCATTTTTGCATTGAAATTTTTCCATGCTATTGGAAAAGAAAATTGGTTAATAATTTATTATGTATTTAACATTCCCTCAAAATAGCATATTGAAGTTTTCAGCCTCACCCACAACTCGATTTTCCATGTCCCGTTTTAAATGCGCCTGTGAAAAAATGAAAATATATTGCTTTATGAACAGATTTACAAAAATTAGAGTCAAATGAAAATTGCTTTATTCAAGATTCTATAAAATTTTCAATAAAATAACTATATTCTGAGTCTATATCATAAAACTGTAATTATTTAAATTGTTCTTAGATGTTTAATAATTGAAATAAAACCGCAAATGATAAAATGTAATTTCATAACACCTTATTCTGATAAAGAATCTTCTTAAAGTGACTGATATGTGTAACATGTGTGACTGAGATTGTATAAATGTCTCTCTAGAGTTCAAGGTCAACAATAAACTAGTTTTTGAACATGGCTGTAGATTTGTTTTCTTCAATTTACAGCATTGATAATATTGGTAGATAGTATTTGTATCACTTTATTAATATAAACAAGTTAATCTTATATATTAAATAAAAATTATGACAAACAATGAAGTTATAATTTCTTAGAAAATTTCAAAATACACTAAATTTTGTCATTATAAATTTGAATAATCTTCTGTTTAAGACTTTTTGGAATTAGTTACTTGTAATACTTGTTTATACTTACTAATTGTTAAAAAAAGTGCTATCACAATATTTTTCATATTAATGGAGATAAACTTTTAAAGTCACGATTCAGCTCCTCAGCCGGTACTCGCTGATCGTGTACTGATCTTGAATCAATCGGGAATTACCGGATTCAAACCAAACACGATTTCCAAGTAGTAATAACAGCTTTAGTGTGATTGTGTTGTGGAAGGAAACACAGCACACACATGAAACATACTCTCCCTGAAGAATTATACGCGGAAGAGTAAAGTAACTAGCATATAGCGTACATTTTGCAACATTCAACAGAAAAAAGAAAGAAAAATAGGAATGGTTATCTATTTGTGGCAATGATAATCCTAATGCATTTCAATTCAATGGTCGTTTTAGACATGGAAATATAATATAAGAGGAGCATTTTTTAAATTTTGATTTCATAAAGCAATCGTTGCTAAGATTCTTCTTTTTCCTGGGAGTATTTGCTCCTCTTTCTTAAAGTTAATGTATATATATTAGTCTGGAGATTAGTATAGCAACACTGTTTCAACAGATTTTCCTCTACTTTCTTTTTCAGGTAATTACTACATAATGTTAACGTGAGTTTTAGATTATCTTGCTGTAGAATGAAATGATTACGAGTGAGGCATAATTTTGATAGCATTATGTTTTCCACAGAAACTTGGTTATGTACTTTTTCATTTGTTATCTTGTTGATTTTCACAAAATTTCCAGTTTCTTAAAAGTGGAAACATTCCGAACAATATTTACAGTGTGTTAGTAAAAAATATTGTCATAAAATTGAAGTCGGGAAAGGACCTCCTATTCTTACATTTCTGTATTCAAATTATCAACCCAATTGAAATATGAATGAGAAATAACATTCTAAATTGTCCATAGCTTCATTGCATACATGTTGATTTAGTTAATATTTTCAAGATTAATTACACCTAGAATAAGCAGGAAATATGTATATGTGCATTATTTTTATGTACTACTTAAGTACTAAGCTGCATAAAATCTTTGCAGTTAATTGCAGTTATTTATAAACTAAATAAATTTAATTATTAAGAAATGTATTTCGTACAAGTTTGAAACGTAAATACAATGTTATTTATTATGAACAGTATTTTCATCATGTCAAACATCTCTGGTACAAAATCTTTTTGGTGTGAGAGATGATGCCAACCAATTTAATGTCCTATTTTATACTGGTTAAGACAAATACTTGAATTACGTTATAAAGAAGTAATTATAAAAAAGGATACGTTTTTTCCGCACATTCCGTGTCTACTATGTTTTTAATAATGTAGTCTTTATAAAATTGTTCCACTTCCTTATCACATTCTTCCCAATCTAATGCTTCATGAATTCCATCATTTCCATACCTCTGGTTGTAATATCGGTAATGGACCTACAAAAATGTGTAAATTTTATACAGGTATTGATTCACAGAAGTCAACTGAATTTTGGTATTTTTGTATATAACTTACATGATGTAAACTTAATCCAAGACCCGGTGCTATAGGAATATCTATCCTCTCTAATGAAAACGCCGTGTTAACAATATCTGGCGTAACAATATTCCTACAGATACCTACTACTAAAGATACCATTTTTCTAATTTGATGAAGCATGAAGCTTTGTCCTTTAATTTCTAACACCGCAAATTCCATGTTATTTGCGACAAATAATTCAGTACAATTAAATGATATAATATAGCGGCGACCAGATGGATTTTTGGGTCTCCTATAAATTAGTATTTTGCAATCTTCCGCATTACTACATAACAACGTAATTAATCAAAACACAACTTACACTTTTATAGTAAAATTATGGAAATTGTTTGTGCCTTCTAATAATTTTAAATTTTCATTGAGTTTATCGATCATATCTCTGGTTAATCGAAATTCGTTATATGGTTTTCCATCTATAGTAGAAAGTTGTTCTAAGCGTTTGTCGACATCTATTTCATCTTCTGTATTTAATAAGGAATTTGGATCTTCTGGTGCTAATGCGAATGTTGGTATAACATATCTGTATGTCCTTGCGTCACACTGATTTTTACTATTAAAACCTTTTGTTACCCTTTTAAGACCAAATACTCTAATTTCCTTAGGCAAATGTTCATTTATTACCTCTTTCTTTGCTATATCTCTTGCTAAAAAATATCATTTAATTGTGTTAACTATAGAGATTAAATAATGTACTTTGCATCTATATATAGTTACAAATATAAATTAAACAATCATTTAAGAAAATGCTTTGTTTAAGAGACTTACGTAATTTAAGAGAAACAATTTGTCTAACTGCAGAAACACTTTTATCTGTACGCGCAGCTCTCTGAAACTTAAGTTCCCGAATATCATCAAACTGGGCCTTGTTAATTAAATTAGATTTAAACAAAGCAAGTATTAAATCCTCTTCTATCGTTTTTAGGCCAGGATTTCTTTGCATTCCATAGTAATCTCTGCCAAGATAACCCAGCATTATTACAAAGTTGCTTGTTTTTTGTCTTATTTTTTCAGTTGTTTCTTCTACTTTCGGTACTTTTATTGCAACTTCATCATTATTTTCATCATTTACATGCCTTTTCGTATTTTTCTCAGTACCATTCACCTCTGCGATATTAAGATCTACTGACATGTTTCGGTAAATGTTAGCTGTGAACATAAAATTGTTTTAATAATTTACATATTTTTCCATACGATAATCTAATACGTTAGAGTCAATTAATGTTATATTTACATAATACAAACAGGAAAAAAAGTTTAATTGATTTAAAAGGAATTTATATTTTACAAACATTAATTTTGTTAAATATCTTACCACACTGAAGTCTTAATAAATGGAGAAAAGATAAATTATCGGTTATACTACAGTGTTTTATAATCGAAAACATTTGCAGATTTTTAATCTGTTACAGGGTGATCATAAAATCGTAAAATTTCCCATGCACATTCCTAACCTACAAAAATCGGACGTATTGTAATATGAAATTACTAATGAATTAAATACAATAAAAATGATGGATGGACCTTGATAATATAAAGACGATGGACATATCGGAAAGTTACATACTTTTATATATCGAAAATTATAATTTCAGTTACTAATACTCATTCTGCTAAACGCATGGGAAAAGAATGGAAAGAACTGTGTAGTAGAATACATCGTACATACATCAATAAACACAAACGCACGCGCGCGATGCATGCAGATGCAGCAGTTCCTTCGATCACACTTCTCTGTTGCAGCTGAGTAAGAACAAGTGTGTATATACGTGCCTATATATGTAGAGTAAGTTTCATTTAGAGTCCCCTATTGTGGCACGGTGTTTTCTACAGAGTCGGCAACAGTCGGTAATTCAGGACCATATACAGCTTGCCTAATTGGCTGATTGTAGCTTACAATTATTGTAGAATTTGTAAGATAGAAAATTGCACTGCATGAATATAGTGTTTGTACGGATCTTAAATCTGTGAAATATCTACCGAGATTATATTTATGACATCGTTATTAATATCTGTTAATACCAAAATTACAAATGAAGTGTATAAGAGGCTAGACTCCCTAGCGAGCAGATAAAGATAGAGGACGAAAGTAAGGTAAAAATTGATGATGCCGCAGCCATAGAATCCAAGCAGTTTTATGCCATTAGATGATTTTTTTGGATAATAATCTGACATTCGCGCACTGTATTGAGCCTTCTTCTTTTGAATGATAACAAATTGCTCTTTAATTGCCTCCAATTGTTCACCAATAAGTTTTAATTGCTCACTTATCCAAAAAAACTTTTTGAGATGTCTAGTGACTTTTATAAGAGACTGGGGACTTTTAAAAATACGAAAATTCTTGAAACAATGCGTAAAACGTACTGTAAGCAACTTCCATGACAATATATATGTTTATGTACATTATGAACAATGTATAATAAAAATTAATGTTACTATGTATGTACGTTGACTTACCGTTGGCATGCCTGTGAAGCTACAAGCGCACATATGTCATATGTATACACTGAGTATGTATGTAGAAAGCATATGCATATTCAACACGCTGCGCTGAATATATGAGATATAAGCCTGGTCTGGCATTTACTCGTCGCTCACATGTGTCGGTTGTGTGCTGAACATATTTTCATCTATTTATTGTGAATATTTATTAATTTATTAATAAAAATGATTATTTCAACGAACGAAGGCAATCCAAACACGTTAAAGCTGATAGTTGCAGCTAAAATAGCTGAAAAATCTGTTACCATGCAGACGGTAGAACCAAGTAGTGAGTAACTTAACCTCTCAGCTTGAATTTAATTTCCCATCCACATGATGAAATCTCAGGTGTTTGTTTCACCTGGAGATTTCCAACACGTGGGTGATGCAATAATATATAATCAATGAATATTTTCTTATTACTAATATAAATTTCTGTTTATTTTTACAATTATTTATAACTCATATGTTAGAGTCATTTACCATTTTGTCTCTGAAAAAAATATTTAAACATTATATTCTTATTTATAAATATCTAATGTTGTAGGTAATTTTGTTTAGACATTGTTAACCTTAATTTAATAACATATTTTTGGAGTTGGTTATACTTTGATCATTGTAAAGTTCCTAAATTTCTAATTCTTATTGATAATATCACATAATTTTTATTGTTTTATGTTTAGCAAGTTTTCTGGGTCGTCTACCTGCTATTGAATTATCCTGTGGGTCAGTGCTATTTAGCACTAGTGCAGCAATGCAACTGTTAGTACCTCTACCTGAAGAATCTAAAATTGACAACAACAAATGGTTAGAGTGGGATATTTCTCAGTTACAGGTATATAATAATAAATTGATCTATCATTAAAACCCAATGTACAGATATAACTAAATCTAATACTATGACTATTGTATACTTTAGCCAGCTATAGTCTCTTATGGCAATGTAACTAATGCAAATACATCTGGCTTGTGGTATCTATTAAAAGAGTTAGATGGTGCATTAGCAAATAAAAAGTACTTAATTCAGGTAATAAGAAATATACATACTTACTGTTAAGAAAACTGCATTAACAATTTTGATAGAACTGAGACTTAATTAACAATATTTTAGGATAAAAATGATTTATCATTGGCAGATGCATGCATTTGGGTAACTATATGGTCTACTATATTAGTTACAGAGATTGGAGAAGAACTATGCAAACACTACCCATCAATTAAAAGTTGGTTATCAAATATTGAATTATTACCAATTATTCAAGTATGGAACTTTTTTATTATCAGTTTAATATTATATGTATACATACGTTGTTATTACAATTAAAGCATTAATTCATACGTTTAGAATTCCTTGAAAGAATACCAATTTGAAAGAGGTGTTAAGGCAATTCTCAGTGTACAAGCTGCATCATGGTTTCCTGTTAATACTATTATGCAATCTTCAAAATCCTCTAAGCCAGTTCTAAGTAATGTACGTTTCCTGTGATCAGAGTATTCATATAACAATACACAAAGTGTAATTTTATAAAACTTTCAATTATTTTATTTCAGATTAGTCCCACTAAAGAGAAGGAAAAAGATGTTGAAGCAGTTAGTAAAGAAGAAATTCAGAATGTTACTAGTAATTGGTCGTCAAAATCCTATCCTGCTGTGAAGAACTCATCTTATCCTATGTAAGCTTTAATTTAGACGAATCTGTGTATATGCATGTACATAGAGTACTGAATATGATTTTAATGAACATGTTTTATGTTTAGATTGCCAAGAAAAGGCGAGAGAAATATTCTAATAACATCTGCATTACCCTATGTCAATAATGTTCCTCACTTGGGAAATATTATCGGTTGTGTACTTTCTGCTGACATTTTTGCCAGGTATGTTTTGTAACTAGATTTCTAAATATTATCAAAATGGATTTATTTTAATTTATTTGTTTTGATTGCAGATATTGTAGGCAACGAAATTATAATACGCTTTTTGTTAGGTATGTATCGTTTTATGAATATCTATAATATTAATGTCTGTAGATTTCAAATATAAAATATAACACAACTGAATGTATCGACATTACAGCGGAACTGACGAATATGGCACTGCTACAGAAGCCAAAGCTTTAGAAGAGAAAACAACACCGCAAGCTGTATGCGACAAATTTTTTGATATACATAATGATGTATATAGATGGTTTAGTATAGGGTTTGACTATTTCGGTCGTACTACTACACCAGAGCAAACAGAGTAAGATGGATCTCGTACTACCTGCATTATAGGATGTAATTTTTTAAGGTTTTTGTCTAAACTTTTGAACAAAAGATTAAGATTTTACCATTTTCTTTTCTTTCTTTGCTGTCGTATTAACACAAAGCAAGTACTGATGTTACATGTGTGCATTCTTTTACTTCTAGGATCGTGCAATCTTTTTTCTCTAGAATAAAATCGGAAGGATATGTGTTTAGCGAAACGGTAGATCAACTTCTCTGCGAATCTTGTGATAGATTCCTGGCAGATAGATTTGTAGAAGGCACGTGCCCAAGGTGTAAGTATGAAGATGCGCGTGGCGATCAATGCGATGGATGTAGTCATTTAGTGAATGCAACCGAGTTAATATCACCTCGTTGCAAAATGTGTAGTAACAGACCAGTTGTGAAGAAGTCGGAGCAGTTTTTCTTGGATTTACCTAAGGCAAGTATTAGTGTAGTTCATATATTCTATGATCAACCCATAGAAAATGAGAATAAATATCAAAAATATGAAAAGAATTTTGCATTACTTATGAGATTCTATCACAGTTAGAGGCAAAACTAAAAGAATGGTCTGCGACTGTGGAAAAAGGATGGTCGACCGTTGCCCGAGTAGTCTCAAAACCATGGTTACGTGACGGTCTAAAACCTCGTTGTATAACAAGAGATTTAAAATGGGGAATTCCCGTACCAGCGAAAGGTTTCGAAAATAAAGTGTTCTATGTTTGGTTCGACGCACCATTTGGTTATATCAGTATTACAAAGAGATATACTAAAGAGTATGAACAGTGGTGGAAACCTACGGATGTAAATGTTGATTTATACCAATTTATGGCGAAGGACAATGTACCTTTTCATACGGTAATGTTCCCAGCTTGTCTGCTAGCAGCTAATCAAGGTTATACAATAATGAAGCATTTAATGGCAACGGGTAAGTTTAACAAAAAAAAAAATATACTTATATTAAACATAAACTTCAATTTTTAATGTTTTACTTCTATTTAGAGTATTTAAATTACGAAGACACCAAATTTTCGAAATCCAGGGGAATTGGAGTATTTGGTACCGATGCTAGAGATACGGGTATACCGGCTGATGTTTGGCGATTCTACCTTGCATACGTTAGACCGGAAACGCAGGATTCAAATTTCAATTGGGCAGATTTAGTGACTAAGAACAATAGCGAATTATTAAATAATTTTGGTAACTTTGTGAACAGGTGTGTGAAAAATTGGTCAACTCGTTGATTGTCTCTGTTTAAGTATGATATTGAAGAATTACTTTTCACGTATATAGAGCTTTGATGTTCGCGGAAAAATATTTCGATTCAAAAGTTCCACCGATGGTACTTCAGGAAGATGACTTAATGCTGTTGGCGTTAGCGCAGCGCGAATTGTCGTCTTATATTCAGGCTTTGGAACAAGCGAAGTTGCGAGACGGTTTGAAGCATGTTTTAGCAATATCTAAGCATGGAAACCAGTATATGCAGTTCCAAGAACCGTGGGTGAAAATTAAAGGAACTGATGATGATAAGTAAGCCACTTCTCAACAAAATAGTACTGTAGAATTTTCTTTTATAGACGTACATTTTTATTTTTTTTTCAACGTTAGTCTTCAATTTTTTTAGACTGATATTATTTAATTGTAAAATACATAATAGGTTTTTTACAGTTTTGTTCGTGTAGAAATGTTTACTTGCTAAAAGATTAAAAAACTTGATACATCAAATTACATTGCAGGTCTGTGTCTTAGCGCTTGTGAATAATATCTATCTGGTGGTGTTGTAGCCCATTGGAACATGATGTTTTATGTTTTTTTGTTCGCAGGATAAGAGCTGGCACAGTGATCGGTATATGTTGTAACTTAGCGTGTCTATTGGCAGCACTACTGGCTCCATTTATGCCCAATACGTCTCGCGAACTGAGAAAGCAAATAGGATTGGATAGCAGCAATTATGGATACATTCCTGACATTATTACTAACATACTTCCGCCAGATCATAAAATTGGTAAACCCTCTCCACTGTTCAAAAAGATTGAGGATAAAGATGTGGAAACATTAAGAAAAAAATATAGTGGAAAACAAGAAGGAGCAATTAAAACTAACGAAGCTAATGATGCGAGTTGTGATGTGAAATCTTTGGAAGCTGCAATATTGGCACAAGTGAATAAAATTTAGAAAAAAAAGTTGTACCGAGACATCGATCTCTATTTAAATATTATGTTTTTTATGCTATAGGGCACTAAGGTCAGAGAACTGAAATCCAAGCATGACAAGAGCGTTTGGCAACCCGAGGTTCAGGTTCTTTTAGGCTTGAAGAAGAAGCTTGCTGATCTCATGGGCGGAGAAGCTAAATCTTCTGAGCCTGGAAAAAGTAGCAAGAATGATAAGCCTACAGCGGTGTCTCTACCTGAACAAAATCAAGATGCTTCAATCGATGTGGTTGCTATTGAAGCAGCTATAGCTAAACAAGTATGATAAAACAAATACATGTCAACAAATATATACTTAATTTCAGCATTTTCTAATGTAGACTCTTCCTCTAGGGCAATCTGGTACGTGAATTGAAAAGTAAAGAAGAAAAATCCGTGTGGCAGCCCGAAGTGGAAAAACTATTGAAACTTAAGAAACAGCTAGCAGATCTCACTGGAGCGTCTCCAGCATCGACTGACAAAAAGTCAAAAAAGAAGAAGTAACTTAATTACAAAACAACTTCGGACATCCATTTCCCATTGACAGAAAATGATCATACTATTTTGTAATAAAGTTCCATCCTTCATTTTCTATTACCATACAATTTCCTTAAAACTGCATTCATATCTGTGGTATTCCTCGTCAAATAATGTTATTAACACATTTTATTTAATAAAATTAATTTATACATCAGTAAAATGAAGAAATTGTTACAATTTTCTATTTTATACCCTACTATAGCGATTAGTCTAGAGTCCAGAACGTTGGCATGAAAACGAATCAATTAATGAAGAAGATATTACTTTTTAATTGAAGTTGTAATTAGTTTTGTTCTCGGTGCAGGTTTCTGTTTATCTACTGCTTTATTCTGATGCTGAATTTTCTTCGAATGTTTTGATGTTGTTATTTTTACTAATTTTCTTTGGGACATACGGAAAACAACGTTCTCGATCATACAAATTATAACAGACAATATTACACCAACGAGTAACAATATTATGATCGATGTTGTCTCAAGAATAGTTACACTTGATACATAATGTTTATTTTGTTCGCAAAATGGCTTCCTTGAACTCCATTGGTGTATCTGTCTGTTTCGAATTCCCGCAGTAGTCATTCTTATTAATCTGCAATTAATTGATGCAGCCTTAAAAACTCAAAATTTTTATAATCTCTAACACATAACTTTCTCACCCTATTTTTGATATCTCCCGGAACTGACCGTTCCGCATGAACCAGATGGCCAATACAGAAGGTCGAAGCAAATGTATTTCGGTGAGCTGGCAGATCATTTGTTTGGTAAACAGACGTTCAATTACTGGATAGGCATCGACGGGATTCGCATGATATGCGTGTCCAGGAGACATAACAGATGTTATACCATCCTGCAACTCTTGAAATCTCTTCTCCTCCGGTATATTTTCCCAATGTCTTTTAAAATATTCAACCTCGGGGTCTGCAGACTATGAACAGTTTAATTTGGCAACATTAATTGTTACTTTTACTATGGACTATCAATTATGGATATTTGTGTATGCAAGCACCTATACATTCCCTCCAGTTGTGATGGTATAAATAATATTTTCTATGTAGTTCGTTGTAAATCAATATTACATTTAATTTTCGGAATCAAAGATCGCTTCGATTATATATATGTATATATATTTATTAATATATTTATTTTATATATATTTATTAATATATTTATTTTATATATATTTATTATATAAATATTTGCTATATCATCACAACCTCCAGAAATTTACACTCATTAGGATGTTGAAGAAGATCTCTTTGCGAGCCGAGAGTTTCAGCTTGCTTTTCACCAGCGAGTACAAGGAATCGTTCAGTTTGTCCAAAGGAATATTTAGTCGACTTGATACCATAGCCGCTGAATAACAATTATATACAAGCAGACCGAAAATCATAGTTTGCAGTAAAGCAATGCGACCGGCAAACTGTTTGCTTTCAAACGGTAGTCCTGTAAATTAAGATGATTGTCTCTGACGCGATAAAACATACAAGCGTACCGAAGAATTTCAATTAACTAAAAGTCAAAGTCCAGGTACAGTAGAATCTCGATTATCTGTACTAATCAAGGGAAGCATCATCAAAAAGGAAATTTGCAAACTCATGTTATTTCTCGCGGTTTACTTAAGGCTCCTTTTTCGATTACGAAAAGTTAAAAATGTGGAAAAAATGAAAAATATGCATCTTTCGTGCGGACGCTACTGTACCTCACGTATAGTTAACAAACATACAGTTAACAGACCCAAGACTGATAAGACAGTCTTATCAATCATTGAAAACGTGATATTTTGAATGATTTCGATTACACAATGTTAAGGAAATGATAGGCACTTTGTGGTTTTGCAAGGCCGATAAGTAACACGTGAAAGCACTGAGTCACTTCGAATTTTATACTCATCCTAATTCGTTTCGAATCTGTTGAATTCGATCGATATTGGAAATCGAATACGCATATCATTTGCTTATCAGTATCGAGACCGTAAGTATTCATCATTTGTGTTTTACCGCACCTTGTTGACATATCGCGGCAATGAGAACAAAAACGCTTTCCCCATTATTGGAATTATTGTCTAATTTCCAAATCAACCATAATGCGAATATTATCAGGATCGACAAGGCGAAAATCGTGCACCAGACGCTTGCTTCGAATGGCCGAAAGACCGTAGTCAATTTACTTTTCAGCGATGGCACAGTGAGAAACATGAAGCAGGTTCTACGAAAACGTTAACACTTAATTGTTCTCTGTTCATTAATACCAGAAATTTTAATTTTTATTCTATAAAATGAAGAAACTGGAGTACATAAATCCATTTACGGACAACTCGATACGTTTTTAATTAGAGGATATACCTAGCGGGCCAAACTTGCAGCGCTACATCGGCGTATGCAAGTCTTTCTTTCGTTACAATCGACGGAAAAAATCCCAAATCGAATTTCCGCTGTTTCAGACCATTCATCAATGGGCCGTTCTTATCATGTTTCGCCCAGTAATTCAGTTCTATTACGTCGAGGCTGTAAATGAAATATCCGATTGATCATGCCTCCTTCGATTAGGGAAACTACGGAACCCCAAACCTCCGGAACGGTGAATAAATATTACGTGAAATTGAACATTTCAGCCATGTGTACCGTGAGAGCAAAGCCGAATCTTGCCCAATTATCTAGCGGCACTACATTCGGTTCTTGAAGATACGTTATCAGATCATGATCCTTCGGCCTGTTTCCTACCTACGTGATAATAGTATTTTGAGATGTCTACAAGAGGTGTTTCGTTTATCTTTGATTCCTCGTTATTTTTATCATTTTATCATGTCAGATCTGCTTCTTTCTTGTTCCATGATAAATATGAGTCGGGAAAGTACAACATAATAAAATCATAATTGAACAGTACCTACGACGATACTTACAACGCCAGCAGCCTTCACCTTTATTTGGTGGTGGTTCCATCTTCTGGAGAACGTGTCGTCTAACAAATTAACGCTTAAGCCAGTGTTATTTGTCCACGTACCAAATTCTGTGATAATGAGCGAGCCACCGCAGTGTTTGCAATGATTGTAAACGTCGTACAGTGCGTAGCCATCATCGTTACGTATAGAGATCATAAAATTGGTGATCACGCTGAAAGTACTCTCGTTCAATAATTGCGCGGTTTCCGTCAAATTCTTTCCGTCCTCTTCCAGGATTAACCAATGATGCAGGTGCTCGAATAAATATTGAGCCGAAGCCTGAATTCGATTTGTTTAAAAAAAAAAAATCAGTACATACTCCCAATCGTTGCATTACCAACAAATATCCATTGCTTTGCTAAATCTTGTACTTCTGGTGATATCTTCTGCGTATTTTTAAATCTATTTTTAAGGGAAATTCATTGATTAGAAAATATTCCGAGTGTACAGAAGTGTTCAAGAAAAATTTCTGCATCTCCATTCCATATCAAGAAGAGGATTGAGACAAATTGATGCAAATATAGAGAAAATATTCATTATTAGATATAGATGATTCTTGTTCTTCTTCTACAAAGCACGTACATAAATGTTCTCGTTCGTTTCCTACCATCATGGAGAAGCCTAAATAACTCGATAACTAATTGCTTAAAATTAATGTTATTGGTTCCAAAATGTTCGAAATGATCCCATGCACCGATTCCATGTTTCAAATTGCCGTAATTATGTTTATTTCCAAATCTGTTCTGCGAAAAATGTTTATACATATAAACCTATTAAGATCAGATTTTACTGTTTTTTTTGGCATGATCTTGAAACTTTTTACAAACTTAAAGAAATTTATCATAAAGTACGATCTTTTAGCATTCATTTAAGGCCTTTATGAAATCAATAAAGCATTATTTTGTATATTATCTTTTATAGGATAACAGTAACGTTTGTGACAAAATCAAGAAGCTTTTTTCGACTTCCGTACAGCGCCAGTTAGTAGGTGACAAAATAGATCTTTCTGTTTTCATCAGAATAGTGGTGTCACCATTCACTAATCGGCGCTGCACGGACCCCTGAACAGAGCTTCGAAATTTCGCCATTAGAGACTTCACTTGTCATAAATGCCATTATTTTTAATTGTCAGTTTACATTCGACCTTAGCAACGAGAATCATCTGTTCTCTATATTTATAATAATGAACAAACATTTCCGTATCCTCAAAATATTTGTTTCACCCTCCGATTACCGTATTCAAGTCCCAATTACATTATCTAATTTTGTTTCTTCAAGAATTTAATAGAAATGAATTATTAGTCTCCCAGAAAAGATGGACTATTTATTAGTATGACCAATAAAGAAAAGCGCACGAGTTTGTTTCAGTTACTTCGTCGTATATGTTCGAGACATGATCGTCTTCATCCGAACATCCTAAATCCAGAAAAACACCTAAGTTTCCGTATTCCGTCCAAAGAAAACGCAACAAATCGATGTTTGATCCAAACCGCGTCAACGAGACTGTCATCCCAGCATCGTTCAATACTTTGGCTGTCTTGAAATCGTCTACATCGAAACAACATGAGAATAAAAACACCAGACTCCTCGAAAATGTGGTTCACATTATTTTTAAAACAGATAAATAGATCAGTAATTAACTACTCTAAAGACAGTGCGGGCTTTTGATTTCTCGAAATACCGATAAATGAAACTTACTTTCAGGATTCCCGCAAGAGAATCCGGCGACTCTGTTGATCTTCTTAAAAAGAAAGTAGTCCCGAATGAAATCGGTATTATCGGCACAAGAGGCAATAATTAATTGCAGACCGAGGAACATTCGAAAGTACATCCCACTTGCGATCCACCCTCTTCGTCGTAGCCTGCGAATCAAACAACTGCATGCAAAGCATTCGTGCTGCAGCTTCATGCACGTAAAGTGGTTTCGCTCTTCTATTTTAGATGAGAAATCATGTCAATTTTGACATGACGGTTTTCCACGGAACAAAAGCGATCCTTTCGTACCGTGAAAATCCGATAACGTAAATGAACTGCGAACGAAACGACGAAGATCTGTCAGTGGTGAAGTAGAAGATTCCTGTATGTATTAAATAAGTTCATTTTTTATTGTTCAAAGAACATGTCAAGCTATATAGGCACAACTAAAATCAATCAACTAATCAAACTGTCGCGATGTTCGCGTTTTACGGTGACAAGTTTAATTCTGCATATCCAACAAGTTGTCTCTGCTGCTTCCACTGATGATGACGCTTCCTCTTGCACCGACCATCTTCTTTCGGTTCCCAGATTTCGCTCTGCAAACGATTACGAGACACTGAAATCGGTATTGGAGACTTGTCTTCGATCTTAATAACGATCGAACAAGCGAAGACTTAGGACCGCATCACACGTTTGCTTTTGGGACAAGTTAATATTACGGATTGCAATTGTCGATTGTTCTACGCTGGTTTTCTTGCGGACCGATTAAGGACAAGCTGTACTCACTTCATCGCACGTTTGTGAGCAATATTTTCCCCTAAGCAAAATATACCAGCCATAAAACTGCCGAACGCCAGCAAGATCAGTGCGGGGGCGGTTTCATAGATCGTGATGCTTCTCGTCGACAAGGTATCAGACTGGCATTGAGGTTTTCTCGACGACCAGTGTTTAATTTGACGATCGCGAAGTCCGGTGTTGAACATTTTCGTCAGCCTTTGGCGAACAGAGAGCAGTGCATTAAAACGCGGCCCCTGATTTAAAGAAGTACACTCTTGCTCACCCGATTTTTGCCATCTCGACGAACTGCGCGTTGTGACTCGCGTACATTCCCATCACGGATTGCTTGAACAAATGTATCTCTGTCAGCGCGCAGATTTGATTCGAATCGAACATCCTTTCGACGTACGGATATGCGGTGTTAGGATCCGTGTGATACGCTAAAACACCTTCGCTGACTTGCCTAATGCCCTCTTCTATCGGCAAGTATCTTTTCGATTCCGGCAGGGGATCCCAGCGTTTTTTCCGGAAGTAGTCGGATTCCCAGTTTAGTTTCTACCGATTGGAACAATGTGACAACGCGGTGATAGTATGTAATAGGTTTGTTAAAGTGCCTTCTTTGTAAATGCGATTTTCGCAAAGAGGTAAAATTATTAATATGAAAATTTGAAATTCAGATATATGCTACCACAAACATTATTGTGTTGTTACATGCTAATTTTTAAACTGATCATCATATATTCTTTTAGGCAAAGTCAAATGTATCTTCTGCAAACTCTTCGGCCTGGCGATACTTCCCGGTGAGTGAACGTGTGTTTTCCACTTTTAAATTGATATTTAATTTATATATTTATATATATATAATATTATTAATTTATATATTATTAATATATATATAATATTATTTATATATATATATTTAATTAATATTTAATTGATATTAAATGAATTACTTGCGATCTTGAAGGGTTCGCAAATACGCAAAGAAACGTTTAATCAGGATTTATTATTCGATTAGTCAATCGTTCGACCAATTGTAAGAGCCGATAAGAGCGATTGAACGATGTTCTTCTACAGATGATCGCAGGTAAGCGACGAGTACTTACATACAAAAAGTAATTTAAGTAAGGCACAGCCTCCGCAGCGATTTTCAAATTGCTGTCAGCTAGGACGGTCACTGAATCCTCCATCATGTCGAGAGGTTCGCTTAACCGAGCCGAGACAATACTACCGGAATAGTAATTGTACATTATCCAGCTCTGTATAGTGATCTGGAACAAGGCGATGCGGCTAGCCACGCGTTTCGTAGTCAAATTCGCACCTGTCGAAAACGAAAGATAGGCATTGAAGAAATAGACAGTATAGCTTCGCAGGATGTTTTCTGTTACCTTGCTGCGATATTATCCCCACTGATAACACGACCGCCCCAGAATATTTCTCCTTCTTTCCGATCCCTTCGCAATTCATTATCATTTTCAACACGAAGATCGAGAACAACCCGAATCCTGCGAACGTGTACCATGTTTGCCTCGCGAACGGCTTCAAGAAAATCTCCAGTTTGATTTTGTTGGTTGACGTCGACAACAGCATGAAACATGGCCTAATGAACACAATGTTTCCTTTTTTATCTAATTTTCTCTCGCCCAATGAATCATTGAACAATAGGTAATGTAACTATTGCGAACCGATGGATGGCGTAGTTTATTCATTTTTCTCACCGTATCGGCCATGCGGCGCCAATCAGTGAAGCATAATCCAACCGCTCAGACACCATGATCCTCGGATTACTAGCGAAGTCGATGTAATTCGATTGCAGAAATTCAAAGATCAAACCGTGCACGCTGTGTCTGTCCCAGTAAATTATTTCGGAAGCGTGCACGCTGAAAAGCAATAGAGATTTAACATATCGGACATCTTCGATCGTTCTTACAGTCGATAAGATCAGATTTGTAATGCAGTAAATGATAGTAAATACACTTTCTCGATCCATGTGATCGAGTTTATGCAGATCACACGATTATGCATGATTTAACATGTATCAAATTTAACACGAGATCATCGATTTTACTCTCGTTACCTAAAGTTGAAGAGATCGCCAGTGTGCAAGATCATGGCATGCACAAATTTGTGCATGCTATCCAAGGACCTTGTGTTGACGTCCTGCATATAGTCCTCGAGGCGCATATCTTTCGGTCGGTATTGTATCTGAATCAAACGTAACGTTTCAGCTCGAAAATTTTAAACCGTAAATCAATTAAAATCTGCCAGTGTGCTGCGTGAAACTTCAATGAACCGATTGAAAATCTCTGAACTCTCGCAAGAATATAGTACCGATGATGTTTCGGGAACAAAAGATAACTTATCCAGGTAGTTACTAATGCATGATCGGTTTAAATTTGGCATTGATTATCCGATTACAAAGGTAACTTCGATGGCACTCACCACGCCGGATATTTTCAGTCTCATTCCGTGCATATTAGCTCTCCTGTTAATTAAAGGCTGCGTTAAAACGATATTCAACCCTTCGCCGGGATGCCAAGTACCAAGTTTGGTGACGTTCAACAAACCACCACGATATTTGCAATGATTGAAAACATCGTACAGATCGTAGCCACTTTTGTTCGATATGGCGAGGACCAAATCGGTCACCATGTTGTAAGTGGTGTCGTTCAAAAGTGGAACACTGTCGCTATAATTCGATCCCAGGATCAACCAGTTGTACGAATAGTCGTACATTCTGTATTTCGAGCTCTGCATTTCGGAAAGTCAATGAAACTCGATTTTATTATCGTGCATGATACATTATTAAACACCTAATAACAATACTATCGAGGGTTTCATTAGATTCAAAAACAAACAAAAATGCATATATGTATACGAATGTCTGCAGTTCAGTGATTACGAACGACTTCGTAGATTATCTTGTAATTGTTGTTTGTACATTCTCGAGTTACGGAGGCAGTTACTGTTAAACATACTTCGGCAAAAATTCGAACCGCAGTGTCGTTGAGACAACGCAGATCAACGATGACACCGAGCGTCCATGTTTCGCTTTTCAAGAATCTGCGGATGTTGATCTTTATGGTCGGCTCCCTTATTATCGTAAATATACCCGTGGTGCTCAGCGTTTTCAGAAGCTCGAAGTCGCCTAATTTCGAGCAACACAGAATTAGATAAACCTTATAAGTGTGTTAAATTCATAGCAATCTTTTCTTCTAGAAAATCAGGTCAACGGAAAAATGAATGTTATTTAGAAGTCATGATTAAAGGACTTGATAAAGGTCCAACCGTTTTGTAGAAGCGTATTCTAAATTTTTCTGCAATTCTATTCTTTTCTAAGAATAAATTACAGGAAGCTCCTATTTAACACACAGATCCGCTATGAATTTGTCTTAAATCTTCCGGGAACTGAGGTGCCTCGAGCACAATCTTTTATCGAAACAACGAATACGACATTTTTGGCACTGATCTACGTTTTGAAAGACTGCATATACCCACCCACTGTGTCGCCGCAAGAAAATCCTACGACATTCCGAACCCTCTTGTGCACGAAATAGTCGCGGATGAACACATGATCTTGTGCAGTGGATAACAGAGCAAACTGCAAGAGGAAGAAGAATGTAACGTACATGGCGGGAATATTAATTTCTCACGACATAAATCCGTCTTAAAATTTCTCGCACGGTGATCAATATTTTTGTAACACTTCGGTGGCCATCCGCGACGTCCTCGAGGGCCCAGCACGCATGAGTTACATGAATTTATTGGAGTTTGTTTAGTTCATGCATCGAATGCACCATGACGTCATTCCATATGCCAATAGGACAGACGGTCTGTCAATTCTGTAATTTGAAGAGTTGCGTGAGTCACGACATGGTATGGCATTCGAATGAATGTTTCAGTGGTTTGGAATAGCAAACGCGACACCAGGGTAATCGATGGTAACGTGCCAAGTTGTTTATTCATAGGGTAGCTCGATATCATTGGACGTGCACGCATTTATAACTTCGAAATGGATATTATAATGAATGTACATTCCTCGGTGTAGAATTCCGTTCGGGTTTATTTTGTTTCCAAACCGTTCAAGCCATTTTTAACATGAAGAAAACTTATGTTTGTAGTTGTTCACTATGGTGGAATTGTTGATTCTAACTTGCAATCTCTAGAGCCCCGATTTAGGGCGTTGCTGGATTCGTCGATTCGCTGAATATATTGAAATTTCTTAATGTTTGCAGATTGATATTTCGTAAGGAAGGTATATTTAAATTCATGTCGACTAGATTTCTTCCGTCTATCATGGCGGCTAATAAACTGGAAAAAAATGACGCATTCTTAATTAATGTATTGAGAAGTAGGATGCGCGCTTTTTCATTTTTTAAATAAAAATTACAGTTCGCAAAGTTCAAAACCGATTATTTGAGTCGTGAGTTCCATACTTCCGTTATGGACATCTTATTTTCCGGTTTTTAATTACCTTGATTGTGCGAGGTAGTAAACCAAATTCTCTATCACGCAAATAATAATGGCGAATCCGACGGCGATACATAAAAATACAAAAACCGGTGCTGCTTCATGGATCGATAGTGGTTCGGCGATAAGCAGGTTACTAGGACAGAATGGTTGTCTTGCTGACCATCTTTTTATTTCGCGCCTTTGAATCCCGACGTTCCGGATTTTCGTTAGTCTGCGCAGAATAATGTTTCCATTTCAGATGATGTTCGTGTTTCGAACAGTTCGTTTTGTCGAATTCGTTACTAATTCCTTTAAAGCGAGTACTTTATAAAAATGCAAATTATTTCATAGAATTTTACTAAATATCAAGAGTTTTTTATTGGCAGCGAAAACTTCAAGAGAATTTAATAAAATTATTTTGCAAGGAGATTCACATTCTCATCTGAGATTGGAGAATATCCTAAAAATGCATCTTTACTGTCTCCATAATGCTTGATTATCAGTAGGCTGCGGATCTTTGTGCAAATTCCCATTTTCATACGTCATTTTATAAGAATTAGAATGAAAGAAAAGTTTCCTTCGTTATCTAAAAGATTACTCATTGTAAAAAGAAAAGAAAAATGCTATTTTAGATCTTGTTAATTTAAACGTTTTAATGCGCAAAGATCCGCAGTTTAATAATCAATTTTCATACCCCGTTCTCAACAGTTTGGTGAACGGACTCCTATGTCTCGCGTAAAACGCCAAACTCGTCTTTAGCAGATGAACCTCCGTCAGCTCGCAGATGCTTCGATCACTGAACGTGTGCTCGATATAAGGATAAGCGGAATCGACCATCGTGTGGTAAGCCAAAGTTCCCTTGGCTACCTGATCGAGTCCTTGTTCCAGTGGCAGATACCTGTCGTATTCGGGTATCTTCATCCAACAATTCTGATAGAAGTATCGAACGTCCTTATCCTGCACCTGTTGCGCAAACAAATTCTCGGTGTGCAACTGACAATCAGAAAAATTCAATGAAACCGAAGCAACTTATTTAATAAGACAAAAATTCGTATAAATTAAGATTTAACACAATTTGATTTGACACAAATTTGACGCAACGGTAAGTAAGATAGTTCCGGTTTCACGATCTTTTATTCTTTATGCGGAATTCGTAATCAGTCCCAAATTTGTTTACCAGTTCGTTAATAGAAAGTTAGATTTGGTCGTCGAATCCTTAATTTTTCAAATCGTATAAAAATGATGCAAAAATTTCGTTTGTTTAACGATGAAATGTTTGAAAAAACGCTGATTATCGAAATGCAAACACTCAACGTGTTGATCTTACATAACTGCAAGATTGGCACGGAAAGTCAGGAGCTTCTAAGGTGCGGTTTTTGATAATGCTGTTTTTTTTCAAAGAACTTGCAGACGAAAGATTATCTAGAAGCGGATTCTTGCTGAGGCAATCGCTAGCTTTGTGCAACAAATTATTTCACTCACAAAATAATATTAAATTGTGCATCTACCAACAATTGGCGTGTCGTTCCTTTCTTTTTGTGGGCTATAAAATTTCGATTCACTACCTGAAGAAAAGAGAGAACGTAAGGCGTCGGTTCCACCGCCAGTTTCATGCCGCTTTTGGCTAAACTGATTAACGAATCGTTCATTTTCTCGCCTTTGTTTTTCAACCGATTCGACACGACGCTCGCCGAATAATAGTTCAGAATGATCGTACTGAATATTAAAATCTGCAAGAAGGCGATGCGAGCTGCGCAACGTGTCGGTACGAATGCCGAGCCTGTACGGAAGAAATTACACTTCATTATCATCATTATCGATGGGCTTTGTTTTAGAGGAATCCTCTACCTTGCTGCGACAGAGCGCCTATTGTCAGCAAAACGGAGAGTCCGTAATTGTCAGCAGGCCTGCGGACACCTTCTAGTCTTATAAAAACGATTAGAACCGTCATCACGATTACTATCATCGTTAAGATCCCGTACCACACTTTCGCGGATAGAGGTTGCAGAAACTGAGCCGGTTTGATCTTCATCGAGGAAATCGTGCGAAACATGAAGCACGATCTGAGGCAAATAATGTTTGAAAATAGATCGGAAATTGATTCGTTTCACTACTGAATTCAATTCGCAATAACAGCAATAGCATACCGAATTGGCCACACTGGTCCGATTATATCGCCATTGTTTAATCTGTCGACCTTCATCGCGACTGGACTCGCCGATAAATCAATGGTCTTCTTCTTGAAGGCTTCGAAAACGGGACCGGAATGGTCGAATCTGCGCTGCGGGTTTATTTGGATGACGTCCATGCTGGAAAACACGTAAATCAATCTTAATTGGGATTACATCATTACATATTAGCACGACATTACTAAGTAATTTGTTTTCCTGCAATTGGAAATTCAGATTTTCTGCAATGGTCTTCCATATTTACGTAAAATTGAAGAGGTTCGACAGGTGACACAGGATTATGTATAAGAACTTCGTTCGGCCGTATTTAGCTTTCATGCTATACTCCATCATCATCTCGTGCAGTGACTGATTCTCCGGTTTGTAATTTATCTGTAAGATTTATTTACATGATCATTACATTACGATTACAATCGTTTACGATCTACAAGAAAGTGTGTCGATCAAAGAGTTAATTTTCACTAAGTCTCTGAACATTTCAAGCAACGATCGGTTACACGATTAAGGCAAACTCACTACGATGCCGACTTTCAGTCTCATTCCGTGCAAATTCGATCTTCGATGAAATTTCGATTGAGTTAGGGTAACGTTCAGGCCCTTTTTCCTGTTCCATGTTCCAAAGTTCGTCACGTTCATGGCTCCTCCGCGATCTTTGCACGGATTGTACACGTCGTACAAAACGTAATTTTTCGCCGATGGTATGACGATTACTATGTCCGTGAAGACACTAAACGCGTTGTCATTTAATATACCCAGGCTGTGAGTCAAATTGGATCCGAAGATCAACCATTTGTGCATCTCGTCGTACATGGAATACTTTGTTGCCTAATCGTGTGAAGATATTGTGTATTCTCCGTGAAAATTTAAGAGATTGATTTCTTGGGGAAATATGGACACAATGGGACACTCACATCGAGAATGATTTTGGTGTAACGCTTACTGTCGCATCGAGTATCTAAAAAGACACCCAACCGATGATACTCGGCTTTCAAAAGTTTCTTGACGTCCATGCGCTGAGCAGTTTTGAATTCCATCAGCGAAGTGTACGTAACGTACATGTCATTGAACGTTCTCGCGAGCATGATGTCATCTGTATGATACAGCATAAAAACGGTGAAGATACTTTTGATGGAATTTACTTGCACATAACGCGTACAATCCGGTTACATTACAAGGTTTCTAGAAGCTTGAAAATATTTAGAAGAGAATCTGCACACCTTCCAGGGTCCCGCATGAAAATCCCACTACCCTCTTCACTTTCCTGAACGTAAAATAATCGCGTATAATCTCTTGTTCATCTGCACACAGAACGCTGATTAATTGCGGCAACAAAAGCAGCCACACGTTCACCAAATTCATCTTGTCAATCTCAAAGTACACTTGCATTAAAATCGAATGAAATCATTCTCGTAAAGAGCAGTGTCTAAACAACATTTGGCTCTGTCTGACACTGATGTTTTTCATCGATACCGTATCAAGACTCAATAATGCATTCCCTTATTTCTTAATCATGATCACGATAAAATATTACCATATGTGTTTCATAAAATATACGCGCGGCGTTTCAATAAAATATGATTCGGCCACCGTTATCCGAATATCGTATTATTCTAGTGTTCTCTCTAGAACATAACCGAGCATCTCGTCTTCGTTTTCACAAAATCGAGTGTCTCCTTCAGTGAACCATCCTATTGTGTTATCAATCGAGTTGTCGATGCTGTTGTTTTGTATCAAGAAACCTCTACGTCTTCGAAACACAAAACGAAAATCAGGATTCTCGATGTGACCGACAAAGCATTTATTATTCTTCTCGCTTACAATGGTACAAAGACGAGAAAATAAGTATCATCTAATCATACTATATTAATTAATACAATTTGTACTTTCTACGGGCATCTCCGTTCAGGGGATGCTGTTTCGAATGTAACTGCTCGCGCTGCATAAATAAAAGTAACTCGTAAATGACTAGTACAATTTCCGCCGTTGTTTCCAAGCTCCGCCTTCGATGTCATGGTTCTTCACGCTATCGCAAACGGGGGTGAGTCGTTCGTTGTCAAATAAAACTTTCCTCGCAATCTGTTCGAACGGTAATTAAAACATGATTGAAACTTCACGAAGAACCAAACGAGTTGTTAGATAAGAGGAAAACAAATGCTCACGATGTGGACGCGTCTTCGCCCATCAGCACAACCGGATTGTAATCGCAACGTCCATCCTTATATTTCTCCCAACTTTCACAGGTTCTCGCCTTGAAACCGGAACTGCTCCTTATGCTCTCTGTCATGAATTGGTGCGCCCTTGAGTGACTGCAATAAGCTGGCAAATCATTCGCACAAATTTCATTCAGATACATAATAATTTTACCAATTATATTTCCAGTCATCTATTCTTTACTACTTATCACGATTTTGCTTTATGTACAGCGATCAATTCTTTCATCAGTTTCTACTAATTCTAGCATCGACCCAACGGAGGCAAGACTAAAAGCCGTAACTCATTCTTGTATATTAAAAAATACATTGTTTCTCTCGGTTAGAATATTTTTGAAAACATGCATCCACTGGTTCAGTTAGTTTTACAACCGGTTTCAGTTTATTTTAACGTCAATGTTCTCAGGTTCTCTAGTATTAATCTTTTTTCTAACAGGAACACAAAATCAGTCTTCAAGATCTCTTAGCGAACTTCGCGAAAATCTGTTTTACGTCGTTTCGTCTTGCAGCCACAACAAATATCGCCAAGGAAATATTAAAAATGAAGATGTTACTTGTAGTCGGCACGAACGAGCATCCAGGTTGCGGAAACTTTCCGTTATTTGGATAAAAGTCAGCATGACCGAGCGGAGCCAAGAATCCGAACGCAGATCCGCTGGTGTGAATCACGTCGACGAACTGCGCATCGGTCGGATCTAATCTGAATTTCGGGTCAACAATTCCAGAAATCGTCTCGAACAGGGGACTCGCCGGATCTAGGCCTATCGCGCGATATCGTCGCGTTAAGTAATTATTTCTTACATATCGTGCATTCGTTTTTCATTATATCATCCGTTACAACTAGATTGCGGATCTTTATTCGAAAGAAACATTTTCTAATTCAATAAACATGTATTGCTTCTCTCAATAATTGGAATAAGTTCAATTTTGTACTTCGTCTATTCGGTTTTGACGTAAATGAATCTAAAATCCGCAATCCAGGTTTGACCGGAATGCTTGCACATATTTTTGCAATCAAGCATCGAAAGTTTGGGATCAAGTAAAATGCTATCTTCTGTATTAAATCTCGGATTGCAGCGATTAGATACTTTTCGATTCAGCTTTTCAAACACTTCGTTCTACACTTGAATCGGCTATATCGACACTTTATCGAACGCCGAGTACTGAATACACAATACAGTAATTTTTCGCTAATTCGCGCTCAGATTGCGCAGAAAAATAAACAATTTGAGATAATAATAATAATACGATTATTCGAGCCTTTCGGCTCGTTTTTATAGTTACCAACAACTATATGACTGTTGATTATCAACAACTATAAAAACAAGTCCCAAGCCTCGTATACCGTAGTCCGTCAACGTTTTAAGACAAACAATTTAAACGCATTCCGAGGGTTAACAGTTTCGATAGGTTGAAAACGGTATAAAACGAATATAAAATAACCTGTGGAACCTTCGATAAGGATTCGCACTTCGGTTGGGACTAGACAAGATCGTTCTCATCGAAACAGACCTGTTATTCTGCCGATTCGTCCATTCAAGTAAGCGCCAGCGCATCCGGCGACGTGCGAACCCAAACTATGTCCCGTCATGTGAACATCTTTATATTCTAGGTTCGACTCGCGGTTCAGGAACTCGAGGAAATTGCCTAGAAATTCGCCTACTCGACAGGTGTTGTTCGCGGCCATTGGGTAGAGAGCACTGGCGAGAACTCCCCAACTGACGACGATCACGTTCACGTTTTCGTGAAGCAAATAGGCTGTAATTAAAAGAACATAGCAATGCGGGCTCTATCATTGCGAAAATACATTTCTGCGTCGCGGTAAAAAATTGTCGAATGTTCAATTCAATTATCGGCTTGACCCCTGAACCTGGCGTGGTCGATTTCGTGTTTATCGAAACGAATTACAACGATTATTATGAAATTTCTCTGACTCGGCGTTTGAATGACTTTGCGATGACTGTTCTAGAAGGATGACAAGCATGTTCGACAGAAAGTTCGTTATTTTCTAGAAGCGGTAAGAGATGAATCAGAGGAAGCTCTTGCAGGATACCTGTTACCTCTGCCATTTACGTGAGAGATGTTTGCGTACCGTCTATCAAACCTCGCACCCAGGCCTCATTTCCAGTGTCGCTGTACCCGTGGATAATGAACTTCGTCGGACGACTTTCGTTGAAATGGGATGCATAAAGAACCTCCGTGTTGTTTAAGAACAACTGCTCCTCGCCGAATGGATTTTCCCTGTTGAGAAAAGGACATGATAGGGGAGCAGACGAAGTAGAATTGTAAACTCGCAAAAGCGTCTCGTTACTGGCGGAGTTCAAGATGTTCGAGCATTTGCCTAATCTGTAAAACGAAGCTCGCAAACAATGTGGCGTCTCGTTTCTCCACCGGTTCCGATCGGCTCGATCGGCGAAGAGATTGTCGAGCAAAAAGAAAAAGAAAAAGTAGGCGCGTCCGTAGATATTCAAGCGTCGACGATAGCCAGTCGAGCGTCAGCGCTGAGAATAGAATTCGCCGCTGATAGACGTATCGTTGAAAAATTGTTGCATCGTTTACGACCGCGAACGATAAAGTCTCTCCGAGCCAGCGAAAAATTCGCGGCTCGTTACCAAGGAGGGACGCGAATTTTCTTCGGTGTTGCGAACACGCTACCACGGACTGTTACACTTCCATCGAACTCAATATAATCGTTTCGGTCACGGAAATTCTAACTGGTACATTGTACTCTGTTCGACGACGAAAACGTGTTCCAAATAACGAGTTCTAGAAAAGAAAGCCAAAAGTAAGAGACGAATAATAGAAGATTGGACTCCTGGAGAATTATTGTCCCGGAGATCATTTAAGTCGTGAATCCGATTTCACCATATAAGATCCTGATCTCTCGTAACTAAATGTCTTGTAATTAACAACGTCTGCATACCTACTGTACAAATTGAATGTGGCCGGTTCCCATACGGTCTTGAAAACGGTCTTGATGACATTCTCGACATCGTTTAGCAGCGTGTTCTGCGGATGTGCGTACGCTGGAATCACAGTAACGCGTTTTCAACTAAAAGCATTTCGAGGATGTTTTCTCTCTAACAAACAACTATGTGACCATAAAATTATGCTGTTAAAAAAGAAATATAATGATCGAATAATAAGATTGCCGAGATCTTGTCTTATAATCGGTGGTTAGGATCTAACGAGTTGCTGTGACATCTAAAAATTCCATTTTCTGATTTTAGGACTACCGATTTTTAGCTCGTCGATCATTTTATCCATTTACCAAATGATCTCATCGCTCGCGTTCTGTTTAAAAGAACTGTTTCATCAAGATACCATTGGTATCACATGTATAAAGAGATTCGTCCCTAGGATTGAAATATTAGTTCGTCATTTGGTCTATTGGACTATACCTGATGCAAGAACAATCGCCAGAAGGATGATAGTCCCGACTGGTGGCATGTCTCTTCTCGCAATACCACCCGATGTTGCACTGAATTACTACTGCAGCCGTCTTAGCGACGGACCGTCATTCATCCGACGGGATTCTTCATCTATCGATGACCCGATAAACCCGGAGCATCGTTCATTTACTGAATTAATTACTCCGTCGAAGTATTGGCGGCGCCAACTTTCGAGTTTCCCCCCACCGGGAGGGCTCGTCGCTTTTCACGCAATGCCATTCGTTCACAAAACTTAGACTTCAACGTTGTAGTCCGATGCTTGAAGAGAAATTGAATGATTATCATTGCAGAACAATAATCAGCATTTGCAATCTAAATGAAAGATGTGTTCATTGCAAATTGCAAAATTATAATAGACAATTTTTCTTCAGAGGGTTCTCAATAGCTTTTACATTTATTTTTCGTACTCTAGGTCACATGAAGGTCACGTATTGTAGTATGTATTATAGATGCTTATTATAGATGGTGGTTGTGTATGTATTATAGATAATACATCCACCTTGACCTTGGTAATTATGCGACGGCATTTGAAAAAAAAAATCGTTGACCTTGAAATCTTGGAAAATATAATCTTGAGAAAAATACGTTGCGTATCAAAACATTTATACGATTTTTTTTTATCTAATACAATGAAGCAATAATTAAGCATTTAATTACATTTCTCCCGACGTTGTACTTTGTTATGTTTTTTAAACAAATTATTTGTTTATAAATTTTTGCGTTTTAATCGTTTAAGTTTCTGGAAGAGGTCGTTCTAAGCAGCTTCCTGTCGCATGATCTGTAATACCGACGTTGCTAAAAATCGATCGTCTCCTCGCGTCCTCTACCGAATAAAACGGCCAGCTAATGAACTACATCAAACTGCAGCACAGAAAGTTTGTTTCCGTTGTAGGCACGCAAACAGAAATTCGCGATCGATCACTGATCTCTATCTCAACTCGCAACCTATGTAAATTTTATTACAACAAAGTACATGTTCTCTATATTCTTTGCTAGCTGTAGTCATTGATAATATGGTAGAGTGGGTGAAACGCTAATACATACTAGTCAATTGTACTCGAATGTAAATAAATAAAACGACTTCAATGTTCGCTATACCCAGACTATAACGTACATGTCACTACGTCTAATAATAAGTACAGTTGTCATATATGTTATACGTACTAGTATGTCATAAAAAAAAACTTTAATCAATATTGCAAATCATGGACTTACAGGAAACACATTTATCGCAAAGTATGGTTTCCGGAGAAACAGTTGCTAGTGCACATTATGAAGGTCATGTCGAAACATTTACAACAGGATATCAGCAGGAAGTAGTCGACTCGGAAACGTCACAGACTGACATCATTATTTTATAAATGAAATCGTCTCGATCAGCGTTTTAATTAAATTTCATGTCGTTCTATGCCATTACGTCAGACCTACCACTTCTAAGAACCAACGAATTTTAATTTTACAATTCTACTGTAGCAACTAAGGAACAAAAAGTGTCCTAGTATGATATTGATCGAGTTCTCTTAAACTTAGCAGAATGCATGCTAGCATGCTAGCCATATCATTTTTATGTCAAGGCTACATACTCTCAACTGTATTTCCAAAGAATTATAATAGCACCCTTTAAGTATTGATTGCAACTCCAAACCGATTCTGCAAAATGTTCAAATTTCCAAACTTCGAAGGATTTACTTACATTCATACATTCATACATTCATACATTCTTCTACGTATGTATTATAGTTTATTTATTTCCTATGCCTGTACTTCCGTTTTTGGGCGGGACCATAAACTTTCAGCGATTCATAACCTGCATCGTGACAAACGATTATTCTTAACATAATTGTAGATGTACTAATGCATACAGCAATAAATCAATAAACAATGAAATTCATAATACCATCGATGCTTCGACGTACAGTTCGAAGCAGATAAGGAGAATATTGAATTCAAAATGCATTGTGCAATTCCAAGGCAACAACACGTATCGGTACAACATGGTTTCTTTTAGGGAATTGGAGAACACGTGTGTCCTGCTTACTTAGCCAAATAAATTATTAGGAATTACAGTATGATCCAAGAATTCGTAGGTGCTCATAGATCATCGTAGATTTTCCGAAGTGCTATTATGAGTAAAACGCGGCCGGTGCGCAAGCCGCTTCGGCTTCGGCTCCATCATGTCATGCGTACAATCACGGTATGTACTGTTCTAAGAATTTAAACACGTTGGAGAAAGAAGGAACGATGCACGAGGAAAAGGGAAGACGTGACGTGATGGAACGGTCGGTAGAGGGAGAAACGGAACTATTATATGAGATTCACACACAGTAGCCACAACACGCAGACGTTCACCAGTCGTCCAAACGTTCGATTCGACGCTACTTTGTGCTAGCACCGACACAAACCAATTTCCTACAACGAATAAAAATGGTTGTCGAGATTAAGACTGACGTAAGTAATAGAATTATTGTTTCACCATGTAATTCTTCGCGACATTAAAAATATTACACCAAGAATTAACCGCACTCGCCTCCTGCACGTTGAGAACATATGCTTTAATGAACGTGGCACATGAAATAAACGGAACACAAGTATCGGATCGCAACGTGGTTCGTTCGATTATATCACACGTTTTGTGAAACCAGTTGACCTTGAGTGAATTGATCGTAGTTTCGTTCGTTTTATACGAAACTTCAGGTAATTGTCGATATCTCGCACACTACGATCATTTTTAAATATGCTATAAAAATCAACATTTCGAACAAGTTTCCCCTACACATATAATCACCGTTCGGCCTTAGTGTCCGAGATATTCATGGAAATAGTTTCGATGGTTTTACGTCGATGTGTACTGGATGCCGTTTAATTTCGGTTTAGGTTCATTTACTATACTGCAGTGTGTTTCCGTCTCGCGTAGCGTTGCTAGAAACCGGGACACGAGATGCCAGAGAATATCGCTTTTTATATGCACCAAGCGCGTGAGGACTGTTCAATATTTAAACTGCACGGTGACCAGACTAAAAGCGCTATGCAAGCTTAATTAACATGTACACATTGTAAACAAAAAATTGAAATTAGCTTTGGATCAGATATTTTAACTGACTGCCGCAAGGCGGCCGGTCACCAACAATACTGCGCACGCTACTATCAACACATACTATAACTTTGGGTAGAATTCACTGTATGACATGGAAAGTTTTTTGTAAAGATCTCGGAATCTAAGCCGAACTGCGTTGTTTATAATGGTAAAAGTTGTTTAAAATGATAATTTCTACAGTAAATTAAAAGATCATTGAAAGTGGTGTGATGGTTGGGATATTGTTAATTATCAAACTTTCTTTTCATAAGGAGACATTAAATTATAACTATAAATTGAGTAACAAATTGTGATGACTCGCAGCGCCGCGATGTGTCGGTGTTGCATTCCTGAGTACATATGTACTTATGTGTGTATGACGATCGTTTTCGAATGTGACGTTGCACAGTATTATGTCAACCACCAACAATTTGAATTGTTCCATAGATGTACATGGTTAACGGCGTTGAAATAATTTGCCACGGTTTAGCGTATCTTCTATCTAGAATCGGGTATTATTAATTATTAATCTGAATTTGTAATTATTCGGTACAAAACTTCACGAGTTTTCTTATTGTCGTATTTGCTAAGCTATAGTTTGTATATTAATCTGAATCTATCAGTACGTGACCAACATTGTATCTCTTATCTCATTGAATTATCGCAAACGCGTTCTTGGTTATCAATAATGTGTACTCTATGTAGTATAGTCCAACGAATAAGCATGGGCACAATATACATATATAAAATAAAATGCATATCTGACACTTTTTATTTCATTCACAGGAAGAGTTCAAGAGCACTCTTGAGAAGTCTGGAGATAGTTTAATTGTAGTAGATTTCTTTGCTACATGGTGTGGTCCCTGTAAATCAATTGCACCTAAACTTCAGGAACTGTCTGAGGTTAGATATATTTTGGTTAACAATATAAAAATGATGACACTCTTAACAAATCTTTTTTTTTTCATAGCAAATGACAGATGTTATATTTTTAAAAGTAGATGTAGACGAATTCCCAGATCTTGCTGCAGAATATAACATTAACAGTATGCCTACCTTTATATTTATCAAGGGTGGTAAAGTGGTATGTATCGCTTTGGTTTTAAATGTATCTATGATGAAGCAATGGCAAAGATAAAATAAAAATATTTTTTAACTTCTTTTTAGCTGGAAACCTTCTCTGGTGCAAATTACGAGAAACTCAAACTTGTACTTCAGAAGCACATGTGAATAATTAATTTGATCAATGATAATATTGTTAAGCAAAATCGATTAATAATTTGCACTAATAAATAGAACTTACAAAATTTGAGCTAGCAGTTAGGCCATTGAAGATATTCTTACATTAGCTTTGTACTCCAGCAGCAGCATTTTGTGAAGCCTCATCTCCACTTGTGCCCTATTTGAAGGAGCCTATCTATCTTGACTATGCATCATCGCTAAAATTGGTCAATGTTTATAATGTTTCCTACAATTTTAAAAGTTGATTGAGTTTGATAAGCTTTTAGAACACATTTTAGTTAGTAGAACTTGTAATATCTGAATAAGACACGATACCAAGTTCCATCCAATCATTATTGAAGCATTTGCTTGATTTGTAAAAGATAAAAGTAAAAAGCACTTCCATTGTAAAGAAAGAGGAAGTGTAATAAAATTGTCAAAACATTTGGAGATATTACACCGAAATGTTCACATTTTATTAAAATAATCATTATCGTTTATTGTTACATTGATTCAACCTGATCTACCTTACATTTATTGTTACATTCATTTTTACAAGTAGTTAAGTTTGTCATTTCGGTCACAGATTTAAGGGCCGCACAAACAATTTCATACAATCATAGACTTGATGTTTTAAGGTAAATAAATAGTTTCAGTTAATGCAAAATATATTTTTAATGGACAGTTTTAAAAATCAAAATCTTTTGATAATAATTATCAAAGTAATAAAGTAAGATGGCTGTGGGAAACTTCAGTGATTGTATTGAATAGTTTATGAGATTAAATAAATGCGTAACAATAAATTAATTAATTTATACC